GCACGACAGAGAGCAGCACACTGGCTCAGCGCACGACAGAGAGCAGCACACTGGCTCAGTGCACAACAGAGAGCAGCACACTGGCTCAGTGCTCCTCCTGGCCAGCGCATGACAGAGAGCAGCACACTGGCTCTGCTACTGGATGTAACTTGAGTGAGAAGATCTCAGCTACTGAAAACCTGAGTTTCCTGAAAGCCGTTCATCAGATTAAGTCTATAGCACAGTGGCTGTGCAATAGTATACAGTACCTGCAGCTCCCAGTGAGTTTATAACCAGTGGGTTCCATTGCATTAACTCTGAGCTGCTTTGAATGAAGGTAACAGTTAAATAATCGATCGATCAGCCAGTGGATCAATAGGCTAATTTCTAGCAGGATACCTCGCTCTGCCATTCTGCCTTGTTATTTAAGAATAATTGACCCTAATTCTGTCAGCGAAGCCTTTCCTGCTGCGGAAGAGCTCTCGGATGCCCAACCTTACAGGAGTAAAGGAGTAGAGCTACCTCTGCCCGCCGACGCCAGGCTCCCCTCGCTGGCGTCCCACCCGTCGACGCAGCCAGCGGCCAGCACCCCTGCGTTGAGCAGCACCCCCGTGGCCCCGGCAGCGAGGGCCAGGCAGGGCCGCTGGCCGGCGTGCGGCTGCAGGAAGTGGCCGAGGATGTCCAGCGAGACGGAGGCGCAGAGCGAGGCCAGGAGCAGCGCGGCCACCAGGCCGCCCAGCGGCTGCAGCCGGCGCCAGGGGCGGGCCGGGTCCCACAGGCGCACGCCCAGCTGCAGGAGCAGGTGCAGCGTGTGGAAGGAGTCCACCGCGATGATGAGGGAGTTGCAGAGGCGGCTGACGACGAGCTGTCCCAGCAGCACCAGCAGTGTCAGGCCCAGGAGGCCGCAGCGTCCGGAGCTCGGCGCAGCACGGGCCATCGTCCTGGACACACACACATGCACACCGTGACGCAGCTACAGCCGAGGACAGCCCACTGACTGCCCCCCCTCAGCGGTACGAACCCGACTGGCTCACCGGGGCAGAGGCTGCGCAGGGCGGGGAGCGCAGTGTGTGAGCCTGAGGCAAGCGGGGCAGGACAGAGGAAAGCGACTGCTGGACTTCAGCAGGGGTCAGCGATCGCTACAGTAACGCATGAGCCCCGGTCTCGCTGCTAGCGCCTCACGGTCAGCCTGGCCTTGGCCAGCAGGGGAATAACATGGAGACCCCAGCTGACAGCGTGGAGCGGTCAGTCACTCAGAACGCACACGTCTCGAGGAGGTGGGGAGATGGGCGGAGATGAACTGGATTAAATAGTGACATAAGCATGGGAGAACATACAGACTCCACACGCACCAGGCTGGACTCAAACCCAGGACTCGTGAGCTCACTTTCATTCCCCTGCTTCCTGTTGTTGGAATACTGCAAACAAATCCTAGAATTGTACTCCAGTAATTACATAGTATTTGTTATATTTAATTCCCCTAATGTACTCCTTCATGTTTTGATCATTTTAAGAATGTTGCAGGATACTCAGAGGAAGAGGCATCCTCTAAAAACCAAATGATGGTTACAATCTTAAGACATCGCACGATGGCCATAAAGAGACCAGGAAGAACTCTCAATATAAATCAATCATTAGACATTTTAAATGTTTGCAGTTTCTCACAAAACGCGTTAAAATCGACCGCAGTAATTGAGAGCATTAGCGGGAGTAGTACTGCGCGGCGCGGGACTGGGGTTCAGTCTGTGTGAAGCCTGCATGTTCCCCCCGAATTGAGGTGGGTTTTCTTCGGGGGTCCTCTTTCCTCCCGGACTCGAGCGGGAGGGAAGCAGGCAGGCGAGCGACAGCGCCCCCAGCGGACGGGCTGTTTCTACACTGTGGGTACAAACGGCCGCGCCGAGAGAGGGAGCCCCGCAGAAAGCGTGAGGACGTCCCGCGGACAGGTCCCTCGTGGCTGCGGTGGGTGTTTCGGAAGGAGGCAGAAAGAAACGGGATTCGGAGCTGCAGACGCAGTGCCACGGGCTGCAGGTGTGAGTTTGCCCTGCGTTTCCAGGGCTATCAGGCAAATGGACGTTAGTGATTGTTAGAATTGCCTTCCGATGGTTAGAGATGATTAGAGAAGGAGATTACGAGAATCAGAACTGATCTGTTACCTCGGGCGTGTCAGCGGCCGGCCGTCAGTCGGATCCCGGCGAGGGCGATCTGTGCGCCGCGCAGCAGCAGGGAAGATGATCTGCGCCCCTCTGCTGCTCCCAGCCGGGTTACCCCTCTCCTCTGGCGGTGTTAAGCGCTGTCATGTGAGAGGCAGAATCCTTTTTTTTTTCTAGCGCTTTTTTTTTTCTCCCTGTCTGGGCTTAAACGTTCTTCAGTGAGACAGAACAAAAACAAGAATATCAAAACACTCCCCCCTCTTTAATCCGAGTGATGCGGACAGTCCGGGCCACAGCTTTTATAACCCAAGACCTCTGCTTTTCAGAGCTCATTTACTCTTCCCAAGGAGAGAGCACAACCAAAAAGGTTTCTTTACCTACAAATCAGAAAACAACAAACCTGCCTGTGCTACCAGAGCCTCACCCAAGGTGTTCAGTGTCTGGCGTTCAGGTGAATTCTGCTCGGCCCACAGTGGACCTGTACACAGCAGGGCTAAGCAGTTTGTGTTGTCTTTTAAATAGTCTAATTTTTCGGCATCCTTAGTTTTCAGACGAACACGGTGCCCCTCCAGGATCACTCTGGCGAAGAGCAGCAGAGCTCAGTAAGCACAGGAGCGTGGGGACGCAGGAGTCCTGCCCAAGCCAGTCCCCTGGGGGTCAGACCTGCTGTAACTCCTGCAAGGTCCACTGTTTCCTGTCTCGCGTACTGCCGTGTGTTCCTCCTCTCCAGGTCAACACACACAGGTGAAACGGTCTGGACAGCAAGAGATTAATGGCATCCAGGCACTAGAATTGACAGCCTTTGACATCTTTCTGCACAGGGGAGCTAAAACAAAGGAGCCTGGACGAGGAAGAGGACTCCGGACTGAGAGGAAGCTGTGTCAGTTCTCTTCCCTGGTTGGTGGGGCGGCTGCTCTGTTCTGTTCCCAGGGATTTCCGGGCGATTGCCCTGACAGAACCGCTTTCGCCCGTTTGAAGCTGTTCTCTGGTTCAGTGTGCTGGGCTGCTAAGCCAACGTGCCAAACGCAGTTTGACAGCCTGGAAAGGTCACTTTCGGGGAAAAAAAAATTCCAGTACAGAACTTCCCCCTTCAATAAAAGAAAAAGAGTAACATGATCATGACAATTTAATCATCAAAAGGTTTTACTGGCTTTAAGTGAAAATATAGTGGTGCAAAAAATAAGGCTTATTTCTGACAGCACTCCACCTTTCAACAGCACACAGACAGAGCTCCTGACCCAGAGTTCATCCATGACAGTCAGCAGATTTCATTTCAACAATTTCCCAGTGTTCCCCAGCTGTTTGTTTAATCAAAGCCCTCCGGGTGAAGGCCAGGCTGAACCTCAAGAACAAGGCTGGCAGCCTAAAACAGCAGCTCTGTGCACATTTTATCTGCTTGTCTCAACAGAAGGGTTCTTCTGTCCAAACAAAGAACATAACGAAGGATTCATTCGCCGTCGGCCTTGAGCTCATTCTTCGTTAGGGTCAAGGCAACGCAGAGCCCATCCTGCTATCCTGGAGCAGACACTGAGCACTGGGTGGATTTGAAGATGCCAGTACCGGAGCCAGCGGGTCTGTGGGGTGTAGCCCACGAGAACATGCCAGCGCCCACCACTATGTCATGGAATTCGTCTAGGACAAGGATGGATATTTCCTCCGTCGTGTTTCCTAGCAGCTTCAGTAAGAGTAGTGAATTGGCTGCAACAGTATGTCTGGTAATACTTTCTAAAAAACAATTCCCAGACAGTTTCAAGTACTACGGTGTAGCAGCTCAGTCCTGGGTGTGCCTTGCACTGCTGGCATGAACAGGGAGACAAATGAAACATTCCAGGACCTTTGAATGTTGAAGGCTGAACTTCAGAAACCTCCTGGAATGTTTTCCCCAAAGACAAGTACATGAGTTGTCTTGTATATAAACTCATCAGCAATTGAGACGGACAAAGAAAGTCTCTTTAGTGCAGCAGCTCTCCACAGAGATGCACGTCCGCAATTCTAACCCCAGACACCTCAGAGTGCATGCCCTTTAAAGACTTGATTACCCCCAAGGGAGAATGTGCGCAACCACCACTCCCAGCTGTGCAGCAGTCTGTCCTCAGTGCTCTACCCAGGGGTGAGCTGGGTCCCCTCGCCATAAACACCCCCCAGGGTTACAGGCTGGGTTCAGGGGTGTGGGGCCACTCCGCTCCCAGACTTGTCCAGGAGCCCACGAATGTCTTCAGACTGTGGATATCTGCAGAATCAGTGGTGAAATACAAATAGACATAAATACAGAGTATTTACTGTATAACTGGCAACAGGAGGCACTTCCTTCCACAAGAGCCTGTGGGATCACGGTGCAAGCTACTGGGCCATGTTCTTGAAGCCTGTCTTTCAAAAATGGCTGAATAAAGTCCTGAGATTAATTAGCTACTACCAACCACAGGGGTTAAATGGGCCACATAGCCTCCTCTTATAGGTAACTATGGCAGCCTGTTATCTGAGAAGATGATTTTGTTAGACAAAACCTCCCCTTGAGGCAGTTTAAGTCCACAATTAACTGTTACCAGTCTCAGCGGGGTGACTTTGGAGATGAGATTGATGGTGGGTGCAGGGGGCTGGTGGCTTGTTGTTTCATTGTGGTGCTGAAGTCCTTGTGGGTTTGGTCTCCTTGATCCACCTTAGTTAGGATGGTGTCTGTTCCATGTGGAGATGTTTTTGACAGAAGCAGGACACTGGACTGGCAGCAGCTGGTGTGATCCGGGTCAGTGGGATCTAGGTCAGTGGGATCCAGTGGCAGACCTTAACAGAAAGACCCAGGGAGGCTCTTGGGGGGGAGAAGCAGGGTGATGGAACCCAGCCCTCCATCAGAAGCAGGGTGACAGTGTCGGGGGAGCGGAGTGGCCCCACACCCCTGAACCCAGCCTGTAACCCTGAGGGGTGTTTATGGCGAGGGGACCCAGCTCACCCCTGGGCGGAGCACTGAGGACAGACTGCTGCACAGCTGGGAGGAATCTGCGCAGACCAGCGAGATCTTGACTGGACTTTCTACAGCTGGGAAACACACCTGTTTGAGACTCTTCCAACAGAAGAGCACAGGCAGCTGAAGAGCTGTGAGCTGAAGAGGGAGATTCTGCAGGCTGGAATTAGCTACAGGAATTGCAGTGGAAAGCTCAAGGCTTCGGCCAGCCCAAAAAGGAAACTCTACATGGGTTTGTCCTGCTCAACCCCCTAGGAGGAGAGGGACCCGTTCAGAACCCTTCTTGCAGCTCAAGGACCTTTTGAGATGTGTGGAGATCCGAGATGGCCAGCTGAGGGGTCCAGACGGTTCCCGAGGTGCGGGATGAGCCACAGTCGGCGGCGGAGGTTAGGGAGGAGACGTTGTCCTGGCCTAGACCTCCACAGTGGGAAGAGGTCGGAACACCCAGCTGTTGGCCTGTGCCCCCGATGCCTCTGGGGGGTCGCCATGGGGCAGATGACACTGCCTTCCCTGAGAGAGGGTGTCACCTGGGCCAGCACAACCTGCACCCTCTCCAGGCTCCTGCGGGGTGCAAGCTGGGGTGCTGGGGTGCTGGGGGTGACTGGGGCCCGGCTCCTTCAGCCTGTCCTGTTTGAGCTGATTTCTGCTGTTGTGAACTAGAGGCTGATAAACAGCCACTAATTGCTTAACAATAGTCATAGTGGGGATTTGTGATTGATTTGAAGGGGGTAGGAGTTTATTTGGTAATATAAATAATTAAATGCTACAGTTTAAAAGGATTTCGTGGTGGTGGTTGAGTTCTTAATGAGCCTCACTACAGGAGGTTGTTAGTATGTACTGACTCATTGTGGTCAAGATTTAAAATGGAACAGCTGGAACTGCGTGAGTATTGTGGTTTTTGAATAATCAAGGAAATGGCAATTGAATTATATTAATAATAAGAAGAGGTTTATTATCATGATAAAACATGGAAAACATTCATTTTGTAGCATTCACAGCTAATTTTGTATACAATAATTGATGCACAGTCTATAGTATTATGCTTCTTTAGAATCTGTGGGCGTCTTCAGACAGCCCTGCGCAGTGGCAAATAACATTATACTGTAGCTGTACAATACATTAACACAGGGGTTCCCAGTCCTGCTCCTGGTGTTCCACCACATGCTGAATCTCATTCCTCAACAACTTAATCAGATCATTTAAGCCTTACGCAATCCAAGAAGGTACTTCAGTTGAATATTTGCGTTTTATTTCTAGTCACAAGTTAGGGATTTTATTTCACTTACAAAATAAAACAGTAAAACTCCAACATGTTTAAGAGCTGGGAACAAACAGTGCAGATTAATCTTTAAGTCAATGAAGAGTTTGATTGTGTAACTGAGGGCTCGGCTGGAACAGAAATCATCAGGTGTGGGTCACCAGGCCCAGGATTGGGAATCACTGCTCTAAACCAGCACAGATGAATCAGCTTACACCAGTTGATAACATACACCATTGGACAAGTCTTGTACAAACCCCTCTTTGCTCCTAAATTTGATTGTTCCATTCTAGCTGCTACTGGCTTGAGCTTGATGATTGTCGGTCTGTTCACAGCATCTCACATTGCATAAGACTGATGGTTACTAGTCCACAAACTGGGCTGTCTGTGGTGGATGCAAACACCAGTGCTGAGTATGCACTATTGCACATCAGTCTGCTCATCTGTATGTACAGGTCGCACTTGTTCAGTATAAGGCTCTGTGGAGCACAACACAGTGCAGACTAGAGATCTCGTCCTCTTTCTGGGGAGCATGCAGGAAGTTCAATTGTTCGTCGGGGAGTCTGCAGGAGGGACTACAGAGTCCTTCCATATTGCAGCTTCCTGTTGCACCAATAACAACCGTAAGGATGGCCATTCATTTTCATCATGCTCTTGCAGTATGTGATGCTCAAGATCACAGTTGCAGACTGTTTTGTTTGTGTCTGCTCCGTTTTGTGCCTGGTGTTGTGTAGAGGCTGATCTCGAGAATGGTAGAGACCTGTGTTAATGTTGGCAGTAACATAAAACTCTTTCTTGTAATATTTAATCAAAATTAAAATAATACATTCACAGTAGCAATACAGACAACCACAGAACAACAGTTTAGTGCGTGTTCTAGTCTCCTCCTGGCAGGATCAGGCCACAGTGGGAGAGCCTGCAGGAAGCCGAAGGGACCAAAACTTCTACTGCTTTCAAGTCAAGTTCAGTTTTACTGCAGCACCAAATCCTCCAATCTGGTGAGAGACTTTATGAAGTGGTTTGAGGTTATATTTTATTTTTTTATTTTTTAATTCACTCCCCTTACTAAGAGATAATACTGATTGTAAGGATGAAGAGATGGTCTCAATCACAAATACTCTTCTGAAGATTTTCACACATATTTGGAAGCAGTAACGCTAACCACACCCATGCTACTGCACTAGTGCCAGGAGCAGTTAAGGCTGTAGGGAGGCAGTGTACTGTCACAGGCCTGAAGCTCTACACTCTCCTTGCAGTCCTTCACCTGCTTGCCCAACCTGCCACATCTAAAAACTGCCATCTGATTCTGAAGGCTATTCACAGTATATACTGTATGGAAATATAGATGTGTGCAAATATTACATTTAAGATATAAAACAGATTACAGCGAAATATGTGCTGCACAGCAGTAAAGGTCAAGATGGAGCCAGAATTATGCCATGCATAATGTGACTACCTGTCATTTGGTATTAGGAAATTTATTAAGCATTTTTAAAATGAAAATAAACCAGAAATGGTACGCATACATTCACAGTGATTAGTGTTCCATTCATTTCTGAATTCCAGGACTGAAATTCAGAATGAAATTAGATAGTTGAAATAGAATAACAGGGAGAAGTCAGGGGTAATGGTGTGAAGTGATCAATAGAGTTTGATTCTGTTTAACCAATCAGAGATTGGGATTTCACTAAGCTGTGCTTTGGATGTATAATATATACATACTGATGGAAAAAAGAAACACAACACCTCCTCCTGCACACTCTGGCCCTCCTGTCTGCGTGGAACAGGCTGGAGAGTGACTCATGCCACTGCTGACCGGTCTATCGCAGCCTCTGTCTGGCCCAAGCCAGTCGGGTGTGACATCTAGAAGGCATGAGCAGAGGGCCCCTGACAGGTCGCCTTGCTCTAAGGCCAACAGCATGGAGCTTCACTGCTCTGTCACTGATGTGGCCATTGTGTCTGCTGGCAGTTTCAGCAGCAGTACAGGTGGCAGATCTGAAACGATCTCTCAGATGGACCAGTCTGATGTGTCGGTCCTGCTCTCTAGTGTGGTCACTCGTGGGCGACTGGATCTTGGACGGTCATTTGTCCTGCCGGTCTGCTGAAACCTTCTCTGCAGTCGGGACACAGTGGAGTGGCTTAAACTCCACAGTGTCTGGCAACGCTGGCACATGACATCCTGCCTGCAGCGTGCCAGTGGTCCTCTCCCTTGCTTCTGGTGACATCGAGGCATTATGGAATGCACAGAAAACTGACTAAGTGTGATTCTTTTCATGCAGTGACCTAAGCTTTGAATTTAAGGCCTTTTTAAAGGGGACCTGATCAGGCATTGTTCCACCTGGACCTCGTTGGGTAAAAGTGCACCTAACGAGCTTTCATGTGATTGGCAAGTTACAATGCCTCACTGCACAAGCTGTATTGCTGGTCAGAGGGCTTAAAACAAATTGACATCTTTTTGTGAAAGTACATAAGCTATAACTGTAGTATTCTCTTTCCAGAAACTGTTGCGTTTCTTTTTTCCATCAGTGTATTTGTAACTCTTTCAGTGTTGACGACAGCTTCACTGTTATCCATGGGTCACAGCTCACTTTAACTGGTAATAAGAGGTCCATTTATGCCTCTTAGATACATGAATAAATGTATAATCTATTTGAAAACAAGCACCACTGTCTTCTACAGTATAGAAACACCTGCAGCATGCCCTACATGATGGACAAGGATGCTCATCATGATGCTGGCGTCTGCTTTATGCTGGGTGTCAGGACATCCAACTCACTGACAATACAAAGTCAGCTAATTTGACTATTTCAGGGCTCTGTGTAACTGCAATGAGCCATTAAAATAAAAATAAAAACATTCCAATCCAATCCTGCCAGAATATTTGACTTTTCTACATTAGCACCATTCTTTTCAAACTTTGTTTAAAAACACATCTCATTTCTCTTGGCTAGTTATTATTCAAATCAGATGTTTTTTAACAATTGTACATGTTTTGGTAAAATATACCTTCATCAGAATGTTTTGATGATGGGCAATTGTTGGAATGCATTTTGGATTAGATTTTTCTGGGTGTATGTTCTTTTTCTCTTTTGTATTCCCAGAATTATTACTCACCACAAAATGTTTCACAGGAAAAATATTGACCACTCAAGACACCATAAGTAACAAAATCCCTTCCCCCTTCACGAAGAAAAATGATAAGAAATGGCTCAGGGCCTAATGGCTTGTAAACAACCCAGACCTGTTATACACTAAAGACCCTTCAGGGTAAAAAAAGTCAAGGTTGATTTATGAAGATACATAGTGCAAAGGCTCAGTAAAGTCACATTAAAGTTCGCTAACAGATAAGGAAATGTGTGGTACTAATATAATGCAAAAATACATAAATGATTAATTAACATAATTTGGAAGCCTGAAAAAGTGACTCAAAGGCTCTTCATTCATTAAGGAGGCTTACTTCCCGAGCTCTGAAGGCCTTTCTGGGTGGTGTGAGAGGCCAGGGCTGTCACGGCTTGCACCTGGCTCTCCGCTGCGCCAGGCTGTGCAGCGCGCTGGGGGACAGGAGTGGAGCGATGTAGACAGAGTCCCCGGCGCTGAGGGCGGGCTGCTCCTGCAGCTGGCCCGTGAGACAGAAGGCATAGCTCCTGTCCAGCGCCAATGGGGGGCAGCCACAGTGGTCAAGCTGGACCGCAGCGAGCTTCTCCCAGATCTGCAGTGCTCCACTGTGGCTCGCTAACACCTCGATGACCCTGGTCAGTCTGTAAACAATGCGGCTGCCCCTGATCGTCATTCCTGTGACTTGACCTACAAGGACTACGTGGTGAGAGTTGAGGAAGAAAACAAGAAAGAACCAAATCAGAGAGTGTTTCTGAGCTGTGCTCCTGGCACGAGGGTGTGACTGACGAGATGCCGTTCCTCTCTGTATCAGCACATAGCAATTCTAACACATTTCACACCGTCAGAGCTGGGACCCTCTGTGATCCCCACTGTGGACCAAGCAAGGACCGCTGTGTGACTCACTGGAGTCAAAGCTTGATTCACACCCTGCAGAATTCTTTAGACTTACAGTACCCAGTAGGCCAAACAGTCTCTTCTTAAGCAGTTCCATAACTTCTGTATATCAGCTTTATCAGATTCACCGTAATTGTTGCATGCAAACCCATTAAATCCAGTTTGTTTAAGTGAATGAAGTATTCATTCTGTCCTAGCTCACAACCTCACAAGACCTGGAGAATCCAGCAAAGCCCACCCCAGCCTCTTGCTCACCTGTGGCGTTACAGACAGCAGACTGGCTCATGTCCTCCAGCTGCATCAGCACACATTCTCCTGCAAGACACAGTCGTGGGGTTCAGTTAATGCCCTGGTCAGTGCTCCTGGCACAATAGTAATAATCATTACACTATTACACTTATATAGCTCCATTCAAAGCTATACAGGTAATGGGGACTCCCCTCCACCACCATGTAGCCCCACCTGGATGATGCAACAGCAGCCAGAGTGCACCAGTGTCCCCATCACTATACTGGGGCATTTGGACCCACCTAGACCGCAGGGTGAGCACCCACTACTGGTCCAGGAGGTCACCCTCCCAAATACTGACCAAGCTCACACCTGCTGAGCTTCAGTGGGCTGCCAGTTGTGAGTTGCAGCACGTAAGTGGTGCCCCTGTTATATGGCAAGTATAACAGGGACAGAGGATTTGCCCCGATATGCACACTAGCGGTGCTGCGCTCCAGTCTGCAGGGGCCCTGTTTTTCAATCTGGGCGTCACCAGGTGCTCCGAAGTGCACATCGGAGCGGACTGCGCTGAGGAGAATTCTGGTGACGTTTTACTCTCTGACCTACAGTTTCAAAGGGGAGAGAAGTTGCTGCGGAGGATAAAATATCCACGTGTCAGGAAAGTTGAACTTTTTTTACAGTTTTAAAACTCATGATATTTTATGTAGAAACATAATTTCTACTTTAGATTAATAATGTATGTATTCTAGGTACGGGAATTTGTCATAAAGCTTTTATTTCGTCACCCTGTTTAATCAATATTCATTCGCCTGCGGTGTATTTTGTACACGGAATATTTCATAATACACGTATTTAATAGTATAAAGCTTTCGGGTGCAATATTTCCAAATGCAAATGGTTACCGCTGACCCTCAGCACGACCCTGCGGAGGGTGATTTGTGTGGCTGTCCATGGGGAACCTCCCCCTACACCAGCCGTCCAGGAAACCTGGCCCATGTTTCACCAGTCCTTTCCGTGGTCTTGCGCAGGTCAACCCAGTATCCTATCATCTGGCACTCCCTCCCACTCTTAAGATCCACCCTACCTTTTACATTTCCCTCCTCAAACTATTCCACAGATCCTCCTTGTCAAAGCCCGAGCCTAGTCTCCCACCTGACAGTCATCCAGCCTACACTATTCACCGAATCGTGCACTCCCGCTGGTACTGAGGCTCTCTACACTACCTGGTAGATTGGGAAAGCTACGGACCAGAGGAAAGATCCTGGGTTCCGGAAGGAAACAAAATCCTGGACTGCGATCTGATTCGAGATTTTCATCAAGCCTTGCCAGACTGACCAGCCAGGGTGTCGGAAGCTGCCCGTAGAGGGGGGAGGGTACTGTTATAACCACATTCCGCACACACCTTCACTAATTACCTCATTTTCCAATCACGCCTCAGCTCTCCGGTATTAAAACCCTCTTCTCTTGGTATTGGAGTCCCTGACTTGTCAGCTTGTCAGGATTTTTCTGGATCGTCTCAGATCTGAACTAAACACTCCGCATAGGATTGGTCCCTGTACTCTCGTTATGGGGAGAGGTGACATGAAATACATTCAGCAGTACAAAGCTTTGAATAAACGGATAGCGGTATTTCCAAATTTTCCAAATTTTCCCCAATTCCCCAAGTCGAGCAGCTCAACAGGAATGGACACGATGCATCACTACCTTTGTGCAGGGACAGATGCGATGACATTCAATTTCATCAGACTGCGAATACTGACATGCACATCTTCACCCCGAGCCATGACAAACAGCACGCTGTCATGTGAGGTGCACATTGTCCTTTGGTTTTTCCCTCTAGCCTAAGGAGTTGTGGGAGTCTAGAACGAGGTACCCAGTTCTTGAAGCTGATACTTGCTGTTGCTGAAGTCAATGCAGATCAATTACAGTAGCGTCTAGCTACTAAGAGCTATGTGAATTGAATGCCCTCCCGATTTGATCAGTTTTGTTATTTGTTACATTTGCTGCATGTTGCATTCTGAATCCCAATTTAGAGACATACAAATATGCAAATGAATCTCTGTGGAACTGCAGTGGCCTTGGTGCTGCACTGTGGCCCAGGGGCTTGAAGAGCTCCATACTCAAGTCCTGCAGGGTCTGACTGGCCTCGCAGTTGTCGTGCTTCTAGCCCATACTGACTGGCCACCCCCCATTGCCCAGGAAACACCTGAACAGCTGCATAGGTAGATATGGAAATGCTGCAGCTGCTTGGAAACTTTAACTTACTCCTGTGTATAAGCACACTGCCATACGAAAATAGAACACGTGTGTTGCAGGCCAAGCTCCACTGGTGATGCCAGGACTGTGTGACAGCTGATGACGACATGAGAGCTGGGTTCTGACTTGTCTCTTGAGCATAAATACAGCACAGTGTTGGGAAAACCCCCCTGACTCAGCATGACTAACTTGGCTTCCTGCCAACTTTTTCAGAACTAGTTTTCCTTGCATCTGAACATGTTGTGTTTCATGTGGTGAGAAACTGGAGGCAATTAGTGTCATATTACCATGGCTCCTATGGGAAATACAGTATTGATCATTGTTATGGTAGTTTTTCCTGGTAACTCTTCTAGTCTTGGCAGAGATAAGATCTCTGAACATCCAAAGAAAACAATGTTTAAAAGCTCCAGTGTGAAAGGGAGAAGAAAAGACTTCTGAAACTGCAACATTACCACACTCTGACAGTAGTGTCCCCCAGCAGATTGATGAACAGGCCTGGCCATGCAGATCTGCAATCCCTTTAACATGCCACCCCACATGATAGTTAGAGTTAGGGCGGTGCAGTGGCTCTGTGGCTAAGGATATGCGCCTGTGGCTGGAAGGTTGCCAGTTCAAATCCTGCGGCAGGCAGAGGAATCCTACTCCATTGGGCCCCTGAGCAAGGCCCTTGACCCCAACTGCTCCAGAGTCACCATACGAATGGCTGCCCTGTGCTCTGACCCCAAGCTTCTCTCTACCCCTCTGTGTGCCTGTGTGTCTCATGGAGAGCAAGAAATTGTTTATAGCTAGTAAAGTGATCTTCTATTATCACACACCCCAGAGCAGCACCCTGCGTTTTCACTTCAGAAGAAAGTGGTTTGGTTCTTTCATGCCATCGACTCACGCAGTGTTACAATACCAGTGGGTTTGCATGGTTATGTTGTCGCTTTTGCTTTGGGATGTGCTGCTCATTAAGCCCCGGCGCCCCTCCGCTGTGCTCCCTGCGGCCCCTGACTGACCTGGCGCGGCCCCGCGCGGCTGGCGGCCCCGGGAGAGGCGGTGGGCACAGCAGGACTCGCGGGACGTGTTGTAGGGCGTGTGGCCGCAGCAGGCCAGCCCCGGGGCCCTCCTGAAGGAGACCTGCTGGGTCTCGGAGGCGCAGCAGCTGTGGGTGTCCGTGTCCACGAGGAGGCTCCCGCAGCAGCGGAGAGACGCAGCCCCCCGAGGGACCCTGTGGAGCGTGTCTCCGCAGCAGCGGGTCTCGGGGTCCAGGGGGTCGTAGGCCCAGGCACCGCAGCACTCGGCCTGCGAGTGGTGTCTGGGCCAGGGCTGCCTGTCACACACACAGACACCGTCACATTTCCGCCCTGCTAGAAGGATCCGTTCGTCAAGAGAAACGCAAAGCATTGACACTGCACAACATTTCGATCGACTGCAGCAACGTTTCTTTCAGCACAGCTCAGTCATGAGGCGTTTGCTGTAAAATGAAGGGGAGCTTACAGAAACAAAACAGACCCACATTCTCTGTTGCTACCACCTCAATGAACCAAAGAGGGTGTATGATAGCCCCAGAAACCCTTGAACCTCATTATTTGACATTCGTTAAACTCCTACTGTAGTAGCATGGAGTACCCCTCCAAGCTGGGGTATGCGAAAAGATCATTCCTAATGCAAGAAATTGTAAAGGGTTAATAAAGTAATGTTGTTGTGTTGTGTTGACAGTGACAGTGAAGTCATGATGCTGCACAGAGACACACGGTAATGCATTACACAAACTGTAGAAGTCATGATGACGAGGTTTCCGAGCAGTCTAGAGGTGCTCCACTGTGGCGCTGTCGGCAGGAGCTCACCTGCGCCCCCTGCAGCAGACCTCTGTGTCCGGGCGGTAGGTGTGCTGGCCGCAGCAGTGCTCGTGTGTAGTGCGGTGAACCAGCCCGGCGCACACCGTCTCCAGGGCAGGGTTGTAGGGGATCCCCCCCTGACACTCCCGCTCCCCGGCAGACACTCTGTGCAGCGTGTGGTTGCAGCAGATCAACCCGCCATCGTTCTGGAGGTAACTGCCTTCCCCGAGGCGCTGAGGGGAAACGTGAAATGACACAGGAACAATGCGGAGAGTTGGACGTTTAGGGGATTTAAAAAAAAGTTCATTGAAATCAAATTCTTTTTGGCATTAAAACTTTTGCTATTTAATATAAACTTTTTTATTTAATATGAACTTTTTTCTTCTGCTACTCTTTTGTCTGTTCCCTTGCTTGCAGCAGTCTGAGAAGGCCTATGCCAATTGAAACATTAATCTATAAATGGCACGCCCCAGGCTGGGCGTGGCTTGCTGCCTGTGGTTGCCCTGGGTAACTGCAGCATCCCCACGAGCGCTCGTATCCGAGCCTGAATCCCCACTAATTCCGTGCTCTGACATGGAGCAGGAACCTGTCATTGTGAGATCCTGATTCTCCAAAACACCGCTTTCTTCCGGCTTGCAGATACTCCTCACACTCGGCGCTGAATTTAGCAGCGTCCCAGTCCAGTCAGCCGCATGGCAGCAGACTCCCTCTCCTCCCGAATCCCTGCGCCCGGCTGGAAGCCCGCCCGCGGCAGCCCGAGTCCCACCCGCCAGTGCGCTCCAGACAGCCAAGGCGTTCTTTATTCTGTAGCCGTCGCGATGAAAAAACACAGCGTTTCCTTCCCTTTCTCACGGGGCTCAGAAACGTCGTGGTGGAATGCTGACCTGCCACTCGCTCAGCTCATGCGTCTGGCCAGAGCAGCAGAAGTCAGTCTCAGGATTGTAGCCTTTTCCATTGCAGCACCGACCTCCATTCAAAGCAGTGCCTGTGAATTACACATCAGCAGGGCTTACAGAACACGGTTACATGGAAGATTTAGCAAAGCCACGCGAGCATTCTCAAAGACCATGCCTGCTTGCTCCACGACTGGGGGCTGGTGGGAAGCTGGGCTGCACAGTGGTGTGTTGGTGGAGACAAACTGGTCAGCAGGGAGGGGTCACTTGCTTCAGAAAAGCTCTGTGCCGCATCCTCTGATCACACGCAAACAATCCCTTACCAAGCTGTAAAATACCAGTGAATTAAGTCTGTGTGAAGCAGCTCTGTGGCAAAACATTCTAGAAGCAGAACTGGCTGCCACCTTTTGTGTTGAACTGACTCATTCATGAACAGCAAAGTGGTGATCACCAAAGATTTTAGTACAAAGTTACGTGTACTAAAATGTAGGCTACTACGCTCATCATGATCAGATACATGCCAAGTATATTGTAATGCAGACGGCCGCCATTGCAGGCTGTCTTACCAGCGCGGTGACGTCACCGCCCTTCCCTGTGGAGAGCAGGGACCGCAGCCGCTGGGCTGACGGGAGATCTCCCTTTGGCTTAAGAGGCTGGGTCTACAACTGCAAAATTGCAATTGTAAAGAAATAATCAGAGGTGACAAGGTCATGTGATTTCTGTGCTCTTGACCTCTTTGCAGCCTTTACCTGTTGTTTCATGAACTGTCCCATTGCAGCAGGTCTGGCCGGGCCCGTATGGCTCCCCCTTGTGTTCGGAGTTGATGCAGCAGCGCTGGGAAATGGGGTCAAAGTGAGCATTCCTGCCACACATGCTGAGGCGCGCATCGCTTCCCCTCTTTCTGCACACAGGAGAGAAAACCAGACATTTTTCACGTCAAAACATAGATGTCCATTTGCAATAAGAGGACTGTCTACCATGGACAGTGACACAAGAGGACACTGCCCTGTACACAGCAGATAAAGTGTCTTTTGAATTAACTACAGTAGGTCTGGAAAGCTTAAGTAAAAGATCCGGCCTAGTGGTTCACATTCAGGCATCTGATGAGCTCCTGTAAGTCTACAGAGTGCTCTAGCTCATGCAAGGTCCTCCTGTATCTCGGATACAATCAGCTCTGCACCAGGAAACCATAAAGTGCTCCTCTCTGTTGGTCACAAGCTCCCTAAACCCCCTGACACTCTGCTCTCTCTTCCACACCTGACCTCTGTGCTAGGTTTTTGTAATTCTTTCAATCCAAGACAGATGCTATAAATCTACAGTTATCTGAATCAAGCCTGAGCCTTGTACCTGACTCCAAGAACTATTTGAGCCCTAACTTTTCCACTGATATTCCCTCTGTACCAGATTTTTCTGAACTGAGCTGAACTTAGATCAACTTACAAAAATTATTAACAGCTGTAAAACAACTTTTTATTGCCTACTCTAGATCCAATTTCTGCCCCTTTACTGAAAGCTTACCTGCCAGACATCTGACCTATAATTGTCAATATTGTCAACAGTTCCCTTTCCAACTTTAAAGACTGCATCAGTCACTCCAATACTAAAGAAACCTGGCTTGGATTCTGATATAATAATGAACTACAGACTCATCTCTAAATGACCATTTCTATCTAAGGTTTCGGGATGCTTGGTGCTCAGCAATCACAGGCTCACATAACAGCTACTGCTTTGTTTGAACCCTTCCAGTCCAGTTTTCACTCTAGATAGATAGATAATACTTTATTAATCCCGTAGGGAAATCATGGTCCTGAGACTGCTCTTGTCAGGGCCGTGAATGGTTTGTTTTTGTGTCTCAATCAGGGGCTATAAGTATTTAAAATAATAATTGCTTACACTTATATAGCCCTTTTCTGGACACTCCACTTAAAGCTCTTTACAGGTCATGGGGATCCCCTCCACCACCCCCAGTCTGCAGCCCCACCTGGATGATGCGCCAGTACGCTCCCCCACACACCAGCTCTCAGTGGGGAGGAGAGCAGAGTGATGAAGCCAGTTCAGAGATGGGGATTATTGGGAGGCCATGATTAATACAGGACAGGGGAAAATATGTCCAGGACGCCAGGGTAACACCCCTACTCTTTTTCAGAAATGCCCTGGGATTTTTAATGACCACAGAGAGTCAGAACCTCAGTTTTACGTCTCGTCCAAATGAATGACACCTTTTTACAGTATAGTGTATTATGTACAGATAAGATAACATCACTTTATTGGCCCTATACAATTTCTTGCATTAGGAATTTGTCTTTCACAGACCCCAGCTTGCTCTCCATGAGACACACAGACAGGGAGAGAAGCTTGGGGTCAGAGCGCAGGGTCAGCCATTTATATGGCGCCCCTGGAGCAGCTGGGGTTAAGGGCCTTGCTCAGGGGCCCAGTGGAGTAGGATTCCTCTGGCGTCCGCGGGATTTGAGCCCGGCAACCTTCCAGCCAAAGGCGCAGATCCTGAGCCAGAGTGTCACTGCTCTGCCCCTACATACAGCATCCTTGGGTTTGGAGAGGTGCTTTATAAATACATTTTTTCTACTTTTCTGGTACTTCCAATGGTTCCAATAAAATCTTGATAAATGACCCAATAGCGACATGTATGGGTTACCATCTGAGCAACAGTCTCATTTGCTATACTGGTAAAGGAATGAAACCTCTCTTCTAAGGTAAACAAGACATGACCCTTCAGGCAACATTCGGCTTTCTGCTGACATGAACATGCAGCACTCGTGTTGCTCACCTGAAGGAAACCCAGAAGTGTTTGATAAGCTTTACCTGACTAACTCTCCAAGACACTGGTGTTGCGTTGTGTTGAACCAGGCCTGCCCACAACAGGCCATGTCATCCAGCTTCAGGTAGAGCTGCCCCCCGCAACACAAACTCTCTCGGCTGTCAAACTTATTCAGGGCTCCTCCACACTCTTCAACATACGCCACCGGTACAATCTTGCCATGCAGACATACCTACAAACAACACACAATCACAATCAAAACATAAAAAACAGGAAATACTCATCTTACAGGCCTTCAGTCCTCTCCATTGCAACACAAGTTGCTTGAGAGGTGAGCTGATGATCAGCAGGCAGCAGGCCCTGCGGTGAGGGGCACTGCTCTGGAGGGAGAGTCTCAAGGCTGGACTTAACTTGGAATGCCAAGGGCTAGACTACCTGAGTTTAGAAAAGTGCAGCTGACAGTATATGCACTGGGAATACAAAAGTGTTCAATCGACGTCTTACCGAGGAAAGAGAGTTGTACTGATTGCTTCCACACATCTTCAGATTAGAACAGCTCTTTCCCTCCAGCTCCGGGACTTCCTCGTGGATTACCCCTAGCAAGCCAACAACACGTCAGGGACTCACGTCTGCCTCCTCACCTGTACAGGTACAGCTCTCCTTTCCACGCAGAAACTCAGTAGCTCCCAGCAGCCTCGCTGGGAAGAGTCATCAGAGAACTAGTTACTCCTGGCTTAAAGAAAACCTGTTTGGCAGCTGGTAGACCAATACCTTCAGAAGCATAGTTCTTGGTACCTAGAACCAAGCAGCATAGCTCTTGGTACCTAAATTAAAATGGTAAAATGCAAATTACTGCACCGGTACCTGACCTCATGTGTTCTGGTAGTGCTAACAATTCCAAGAATCAAGCTTTCATTGACATGTTTTATAACAAAATATTTTCTTTCTTTCTTAAATACTGAAGGAAAGCAATGACTATGTGAGAGAATTTTCCTTGCAAAATGTCTTCATACAAACTACAGACATTTTGCATGGAATGAATAATATAAAATATTGATTTATTTGAATGAAGGTATCTGTTTTATTTAATATTTTATTGTTTTCATTTTTTATATTTTTGTTCATGCAGAGATTGAGTTTTGATGTCATCTGTACATTTCAAAGCAGCTTTGACATGACTCCAGATGAGACTGCAATGTTCATGTCCTGCTTCAAGTGTTTTTATAGCAATTATGAAAGCAGAATCATGAAAACATTTAAACAGGTACTGTAGAAAACAAGATCTGGTTTGTCAGTGAAGTACACCATCTAGCCTTCACTAACCGCATTATATCTGCAGCATATGTTTCCTTGAAAGGGGCTTCGCTGTTAAGAGCCACGATGCGACTGAACAGTTAGCAAGAGCATTCGTCCTCACCGTTACAGCAGCTGGCGTTCAGCGGGTTGTAGGTGCGGTAGGGAGTGCTAGCATTGCCACAGCACCTCACAGTCCTTGTGTAGACGTTGAGGTCCTCACAGCAGAAATGAGTCTCGTTGTCGTACTGCCTGTCACCGCAGAGCAAGGCGTGTGGCGTTTCCTTTTTGATAACCTTACTCAGATGATGAATGCATAACTCACTTGTTATATTGTAGAGAGCTGCAAGAGGAACAGGGTTTTGTCACGATCGGCATCCCTCCTCTCCCACCCTTTCGTATTTTAGTTGGTCATGTGCACCTGCTTCCTGTTTTGTGTCTCATTATTTAAGTTGGGTGCTCTCGCTATTCCTGGCTCAGCACTGGAAGACGCCCGGAGGTCCGCCTACCAGGAGACCCGACGGCACAGGCTTCACCTTGGCGTCCTGAGTCCGGGGCTCGGAGCGCCTGGCCTCATTACCCTGGTTTAATTCCCTGTCCCTGTTCTGGATCCCATCCTGGATTTTAACCTTGTTTGTATTGTCCTGGATGGATTCCCAGGTTTTGGACTCTGGACTGCGCTCTGGATTCCCCCTTGGACTGTCTGGATCTGTCTGCCTGCGCCACGCCCCCGAGCACCGGATCACCGTCGTCACGCCCCCCTGTCTGTCAACCCCTGATCCTGTCTTTCCCTGATGTCCTTCTCCACTTACTTCCGGATTATACCGTCTGCATAGGGTCCTAAACTACTGGCTCCCGTTACAGGTTTTATCGGAGGAACCCGGTGACGTTTCCCCAGGAGCTGAAGGAGCAGAAGGACCTGCTGCCTGTACCTTGTCCGCAGCACCGCAGGCCGGGCTGCTGGTCCCAGAGTTTGCCGCCGCAGCAGACCTGGTAGCGAGGGTTGTAGGGCTCAGAGCCGCAGCACTGCGAGATCAGGCCGCTGAGCTTCTCAGACACAACCCCTGAGCGACAGAAAAACCACACAGCATGAACAGAGGACAAATGGGAAAACACCTCTGAGTTTGGGCTTTTTCTGCTGGTGTCACTTTATGCAGATTGCCAGAGACACAGCTTGGTTTGTTACTTCAGCAGGAAATCACAGGGCTGCACTGTTCTTAAGGTTTTTCCCTCCTTGTCTGCTGGATAATTCTTGATCTTGTATGTTTTCTGGTAGAGGAAGATTTATACTACGAATTCCACAAAGACGATTATCAGAAGAAGTCAGGTGTGAATTGCTCTGTAACCTGTGATGTTGGCTTGTCATTTTACTTGGTTTCCTCAATGACACAACACACTTCTGTCAGACAGTCAGAATATACGTGACTGTAATTAGCCTAAATTGCCCAAAATAATGATTACCAGCACTTATAATCAAGCTTTTTACCTCTGGTATCCCTGGAGAAATAAATTGCAACTGAGTTTTCATGACGTTTCAGTCAACTGAATGTCAATCCTCTGACTCATCCAAAACATGTATCTACACACTAATGAAAAATTACAATTCTATTACTTGATAGTGGGTTTCCATTGGAAGAACGACAAAGTAAATCAGAAGACATTATCAGGTACTATACTGGGTACCTTACTTATTCAACTCATTGCCCTGTATGGCAGTGAAGTGTGGGGTCCATTAACAGACCAGGATTAAAAGGGACAAACACCTCATAGAAACTGCACATGGAAGTCCTCCAGGTTCAGAGAAAAACTCAGAATAATGGAGGCCAGTATCCATTACTTATCAGCATAAAAAGAGCAATCAAATATTGGTTACATCTGAGAAATGGTGACCAGAATTCGTACCACCACAAGACCCAGAGAGCTGAGCCAAGCCTGGAGAAGTGCCCCCTCAGCCAGCTGGTCCTGAAGCTCACTGACAGCAACCAGCCTCAGGACAGCACAGCTACAGCAACACCCATCAAAATCAACCAAATCAAAGCACAAAGCAAACACCACTACCTCACCCAATGGGACACACACACAAACACAACACCTGGCTGCCTAGAGAGGACAGGCTGTGCTCCCACTGCCAGCGGGGAGAAATAGAGACAGGGAGACACTTTCTGTGGCACTGTGACAAATATTCTGGGATGAGACGAACATTCTTTCCAAAAATAACAAATTTAATCCCAGATTTCTATGTGTTGTAGGTTGTATGTGAGTGTCCTATCATGTATTTGTATTAGAAATGACCGTAGATGTTGTGTTGAACTTGATTGTATGCTTTGGCAACACGTACTTTACTGGTCATGCAAATAAAGCTGTTTGAATGTGATACTGGGCTCATTGCAGGTGCTTGTCAGATAAGTCATGGCTGAGCTTTGACTCAGTGCACGTCTGCACACTCCTGCCTTTCAAACACTTGTGGATACCAGCCTGAGACGAGTCACATGTCAGAGGGGCGGCAGTACCTGCGCAGCAGGAGGCGCTGTGCCTGCTGTACAGCTCTCCTTTGCAGCAGCTCACTCCTGTGATGTTGACGATCTGAGCGTTGCAGCAGGTCTGCCAGGCGGGATCAAAGGTGCTGAACCCACAGCAGGCACTGCCCTGCTGTCTCTTCAGAACCCGGCCGTCCTCACAGCACACCTCCTCGAACCTGCAACAGCCAGGCTTGGGTGAACGCCACTGCGCAGAGCCAGCAGTACTTACCCTGCCTGTGGCCCCAGGTGTGAGAACCTGCAGAAGGCTGAAGAACACTTGAAGAAGGCTCCACGGCCGAAATGTTCTGTTTTCTTTCTTCTCTTTTCGGCATGGAACAAAACTTTTACTTTTACTTACACTTACTTACTGACGCAGCTACCCACCCGAACGTATTATTATTATTAAGATGTTTCAATACGTGTCCGGCAAGCCAGTACATAAAGACATTGCAGTAGCTGCCAGCAAAGGCCCTCTAACAATGGGGTGGTAATTAGTCAATTACATTATTGATGAAGGGTTTAGGTCTTAGATTAGATTATGGATGAGAGTTTAATTTTGGGGGGAGTTAAATCTTTCAGCTCTCTGTACTAAAGTGTTGTGAACTTAACTTTAACAGCCTCCTGGAACTGCTCAAGCCCAGGGTGGGTCTCTCAACACAAATAACACTGCAAGATCCCAGAAAGATGAGCTTGGTTCTCTGGAACAGCTGAGAGACAGTCTTAGTTGCAGAAGTGCTCTCAGACTGTCACGTAACTTTTTTCCATTGCTGACAAGTTTTGGCTGGTATCCCATATACAATAATATTTCTATTATGATTATAGACTCAGACATCAGAAAGCAGGAAAACCACAAGTGTTTAGCCAGAGTAATTCCCTAATTCCTCTGTTCCAGTGCCCAATAACTTGACATGCGATGAAACAAGACCTCACAAAAGTAAAGTACCTGTGGTAGGGCCTCTGATCACCTTAATCAGCCACTGTTCCTGTGGTAGGGCCTCTGATCACCTTAATCAGCCACTGT